TTTTCCTAAATCCCTCGTTTTGCACAGTGTTGATGGAGCCATATCTTTGGTCAGGTGATAAGTAACAGCCTCCGTAATTTCTGTGTGCCTGCGGGAGTTCGACGGGTATAGGGAAGCGCTGTATAAGGTTCCCGTTATTGATGTTTGGGTGGTTGACCGGGACGGATTTTCTCCTGTCACTTTCTCGTCATCCCTGACGTGCTCTCCGTTGTTTTTTCCCGGCCAATTTTAGCAGCCAGCTTCTGTATCACGTGGTATAAGGCTCCGCCCTCGTCATTAGTTGAGCAGGAAGAGTGAGCGCTTGTTTTCATGCAGATTACGTCCCGGATCAAAATGCACTACAATCGTCGTCTTTTTTTCTTTTTTTTAAAAATCGTTGTCATTTGGAAACGAGATCGCACATAAGTATGAATCGAGATCGTGATTTTCTAACGATTAATCGTGCAGCCCTAGTTCATTGCATTATTTTATTCCAGCCAAATATCCTTCAGTTCTGTTTTTCACCATATTAAAACAGTTTATTAGCTGCTGTGGTGTTAATGAAGCAGGAAGCAGATGGAGTGAAATGTGTTTTAATGCACATTTAAATGTAATTTAATAATAATTTAATTATATAAGTGCTGGAAACAGTAGTTTTAGTTGTACTCTGTGATGTTCTGTATCAGGAGACTGTTTCTGTTCTGTGGGGCTTTTTAGCCTCACTGGGTGAAGGTGGAAAGAGGACAGACCTGTGCTGCACTGGTGACTGACAGGAAGGAGAAAAGACCATAAATAAGTTGTGCGAGGTCTCCCAGCAGTCTTAAAATGAAACTTTGAGCTGCTCTTGTGTGTTTAATGTTTGTGCGCTGTTGGTGTTCTGTGTTATTTGACTGTCAGTGTGTGAGCAGCGTACTCACAAACATGAAGAACAGCTCGGTCATGTTACAGTTTCACAGGAAGGGGGCGCTGTTCTCCTACTTTCTGCAGGCTGAGACGTCTGCACAGCTTCTAAATGCTGCTGATGTTTGTGAGGAGTCATCATCACAGATATTAATAATAATTTATTCTTTATTAACAGCATTTATCTTAACACTTGTTTTGCATCCATGTTTGGACCTCTAACACTTTAAACGAGCGACTGTATCTCGTCCTTCTCTGCAGCTTCACCTCGCCATCAGTAAGACGAGCGCCAAAGTGTTCGTTGACTGCAAGATGGTGTCTGAGAAGACCGTCAACGCAGCAGGAAACATCAGCACGGATGGGCTGGAGGTTCTTGGTAGGATGGTCCGCTCCCGAGGGAACAAGGACAACTCTGCACCGGTGAGCAGCACGCACACAAATACCGTAAACTGCAAAGAAAGCTGCTGGTTTGAGCCCCTCCTCCCTCTAGTCTGCATGTTGAAGTGTCCTTGGGCTAAATAGCGAACCCCTGATGAGTCCATGAAATAGTGAGTGTTGGAAGAAACACTTTGAGTCAAATATAAGAACCAGCTCACGCATCATGGACGTTAGTCTGCTGTGAAACTAAATATCAACACCAATGTTTCTGTGTGTTTCGGCCCAGAATAAATGTCAGAGTAAATCTCATTCAGTTACATTTAAGGACCCTGCAGTAAGTCAGAGAAAACCCCAAACAGTCAGATGGCTCCCTGTGAGCAGCGCTTGGTGACAGCTGGAAGGACGAACTCCCTTTAAACAGGAAGAAACCTCCAGCCGGCTCACAATGACAAAAACATTCATTACTAATGATTAAATCCTGCTGAACTGTTGTGACAAAACAACCATTTAGCTGCTGAAAAAGTAGCAAACAGAAACTGTTGTGAGTCCCAGCCTCATATCTCCTTCGGGCTTCTGGAGCCTTGACCTGACTTTTAAAAGGTAATTGGAAAAAAAGCTCCATGCTGCTAAAAATAAATAAATAAATAGATATTTGCAAAATTCTGCCTAAATGTGTATTTGACCTGGTTAATGTGTGTGGCGGGGCGTGGTCTGCAGCGCCG